AGAGATTACTTTGACGGCCAGAAGGGATGAGATCTTGAGACACGCGCTTTTGTGCTGCCGAATGATGTCTTCGCACGAGACGAGCGCTAAATAGGGTTTAATTGTAATTAAAATATTGCAATAATTGTGAAAAAGTGTTGAAAATAACGAAATATTAATTGTTTTCAGAGAAGAAAAAGTTCTAAAAAGTTTAGATAAAAAAGTTTGAAAAAAGTTTTATAATTTTTACGACTTTTTAATGACTTTTCGTTGAATTAATTAAAGTGAAGGAAAAGCAATTAAAAGCGCGACACGACTGCCATCTGGCGGTCGAAACGCGAAACAGAATTAAAGTTTAAAAACCTCTCAAAAGCGTCGAATGAATGGAAATTATGTTGAGTTTAGAAAACGGTTCTCGCGTTGAAAGCGCGTGAATCGAGAGCGAGTCGTGAGTGGCGACGAACACGACGTCCTCGTCGTCGACGACAACCATTTGTGTGATGAAGTCGTCGTCGGATGTCGTCGTGTCGTCAACAATGATGTCGTCGAACAATGCGTTGAGATCTGAGTCTCGAACTGTGATGGCGTTCGAGTGACCGGAAGTCCACAACCGCTGACCGCCGACCGCACAGAGACGCGAACAACTCATCTCCGCCCGGATCTCGGGGTCCGTGTTCCACGCGCCCGACGCCTCTGCAAATATTGTGATTAGTTTGGCGTTAATTGAGTTTCAATTCAAACCTCTTTGAAAAATGGCGACGCTTTGGTTCGCGAGACACACGAACACGCGTTCGTTGAAATAACTGAGAAATAACAATGGAATCAATTGAAGCTATAATGACAGCAACACTCACGCGATGGCCTCCACTCTGGCGCTGAGCGTCACTTTCACTTTGTTCTTCTTAATTCTGAAAGGAATGACAAACAATGAGAAAGAGTTGCGAAGAGCGCGACAACAACCGAATGGCGTCGAAACAGGAGTAGATGTGAACAGAGGAGTCGTCGGTGCCGAACCACATCGTCGCCGAACACAACGCCGAACGACTCAACGCGTCGTCCAGTTGTCGTCGCGAACGACCGCTCGTCGTGTTGGAGTCGCTCTGAGTGTCGCCGCCGTCGCTGTCGCTGACTGTGGGAGAGAAGAGGCGTTAGAGACGACACGAGTGACGACACGACGACAATCCCGACGACACTTACTGTCGGACTCTTCGCTCGTTTGGGACGGAGTTTGCGTCGTTTTCGGAACACAAGTCATGCAAATGATGCGCGAATTGCAGACACCGTTGCACGAGACGACTGTGGGCTCGATTGTGGCGCCCGACGCGGCGTTCAGCGACAGAACGCTGATCTGTCCGACAAAGCCGTCGGAATTGCAGATCCAGACGTCGTTTGTGCCCATTGTTGGCGACGCACACGTGAACTGCAGTCCGGCGCGTGTTTTCCTGCGAACACAAACAGAGAGTGAGTTTCGAGTCAAAGAATTCGCGATTTTATACCGAATCGGAAGAAAACACAAGAATTCGGGAATTATTTTAGAATTTTTAGAATATTTCTCAGATTTGAGTTCTTTTAGAATTTCGTAAAATTTTTGTCGTTTTTCTTGATTTAAAAATTGCAATAAAATCGAAGCGTTTTGATTGGACGGCAATTCGTGTGACGTTTGGCTCGAAGTGATCAAAAGCTCGAGATTTTTCTCCGAATTCTTCATTTCATTCATTCTTTTGTTTATATTTTGAGACAATTCTTGAAAAACCGAATCCAAAAAGTGTCGCGAAGAAGACGACAATCGCGACACAAATGACGTCTGAATTGTTCGCAGAATTTGTAAATCTTTTTCCAAAAGTTCTAAACAATTGTCGTCAGAGACGACGGCGTCGTTCGTTGTGGTCGTCGTTGTCGTCGTGTCGTTGCAGTTGACGTCCAGAGCGTCCAAAGCGAAGAAATTCAAAACTTTGTATTTGTTTTCTTCGAATTTTTGCGATTTTTTCTTCCCTTTAATCGAAACAATAATCAATAGATTCGAGAATAAAAGCAAAATTCGTTCTCTTTTTCGAATCGAAACGAAAGCTATTTCGTGAAGAGTTGAGCCCAAGAGCGCCGACGCCGGCAGTCCGTCGCAAATGGTCTCCAATTGGCTGATTGTGATCGACGACTGGTTGACGTCCAACTGCGCCGTCGTTGTCGTCGACGACAGCGACGACGAGTGGGAGATGACGTCCGCGTCGTTCTTCACGCGATTGATATACAGCGCCAACGAATGGATTTTCTCTGCAAAGAGACGACACATTAGACGACAGACACGACACACACACGACACTTACTTAAGGCATTGTTGAGAAGCGCGTAGTCTTTGTGCTCTTTCGCCGTGTTTTTCAGCAACTGTTTCAACAAAAGCTCGAAACGAGGAATTCTTTGAATGACGGAAATCATGAGTTCGTCCAATGAGAGCTTCGAGCGGTGTTCACGTGACTGTTCGGTCAGGAACTTCTGGAAGAGGGGTTTGTCNCAATTATTGCAATATTTTAATTACAATTAAACCCTATTTAGCGCTCGTCTCGTGCGAAGACATCATTCGGCAGCACAAAAGCGCGTGTCTCAAGATCTCATCCCTTCTGGCCGTCAAAGTAATCTCTTTATCCGTTGATCCCTAATCGCTAATCCGTGTTAATCCCCCAATCTATAGGACAAGGTGTGGATCGGGACTTCGGCCGGAATTATCTGCGTTTTGGACTCGAAATCCAATCAATTGGAAATCGGTATAAATTTAATCCCAATTAATCCCTTGATTGCTAATCCCCTAATCCCTAATAGTGCCGAACGGCCACACGGGTCACGTGCGCTTCCTCACCCAAATGGAGACGCTGTGCGCGCGGCGACTGGTCATCAGCGGCGGCGACGGCGTGGAGGTGTACCGGACGGGACCGGGAATGGGAACGGGAATCCCGACGACAGAGGGAAGGGAAGACTCGACGAATCATTTGCTTTTGTGGGAAATTAGTTGTGAATAAAAACTCATTGCAAACTCTCTTCTCTCGTGCTCTCAATAATGTGTGAGAAAAGCGTTGCGACAGATGTTGTCGCAGAGCATTGTTGTCTCGAGGGCTTCACAGCGCTGTTGGCATTCCTCTCCACTCCGCCCTCCTTTCGCACACTTCTGATTGGAGGAAAGTTTTGTGTGAGAAAAAGTCTCGCTCTTCCATCCACTGCTCTGTCGCCCATTCGTTGGCTTTTTGTTTGAAATTTGATTCGAATTCGCGTTTTGTCGACATTTCGGTCGAAAAGAGTCGAAAGTCGCGAAAAGCAGACATTTTTCGACTAATTATCGGAAAATCGGTTGAATTTTGTGTAAAAATGACTCAAATTTTTGCGTATTTTTCGTGAAATCGCGTTTCAATTGTCGTCTCGAGAGCTCAACAAGTGTTCATCACTTCATCACTACAACAATGAGAGTCGCGTTTCTCGCGATTTTCGCCTTTAATTTGATTCACTCTTCGTTTGGATTCAAAAACAATTCTCTAATAAATCGTAAGTTTTGTCAATAATCGCCTCAATCGTTGTCCTCATTGTTGTCTCGCCCTCTCAGACGCCGCGGACGCCAACTGTCGTCACAACCACTGCCAAAATGGCGGCGAATGCGTCCAAAACCCGATTCGCTCTCAACACTCCTTCTGCCGGTCAGTAATCTATAGTCACGTGACCACTNATTGTTGTCTCGCCCTCTCAGACGCCGCGGACGCCAACTGTCGTCACAACCACTGCCAAAATGGCGGCGAATGCGTCCAAAACCCGATTCGCTCTCAACACTCCTTCTGCCGGTCAGTAATCTATAGTCACGTGACCACTGTCTGTCCCTAACACCCCTCTATTACAGCTGCGCCCCCCAGTGGACGGGCGCCCGCTGCGAAGTGGCCGACCCGTGCTTCGGCGCCGCGCGCTGTCTGAATGGCGGCACTTGCGTCCAGAGCCACAACTCGTTCCGCTGCCTGTGCGCCCTTGGGTTCTCGGCCTCGCTCTGCGAAATACAACTGCCCAGCATTTGCGACACCAACCCGTGCGCCAACAATGGCCGCTGTCAACTCCGCAACACCCTCCAGGACTACCAGTGCGCGTGCGCCGACGGCTGGACGGGCAATAGGTGTGAGCGCGAGGACCACTGCGCGAACAACGCGTGCAAGAACGGCGCCAAATGCCACTCCAAGCAAGACGGCTACACCTGCGAGTGCGCGCGCGGCTTCGGCGGCGCGTTCTGCAACGCGGACGTGGACGAGTGCGCGCGCACTTCCGACCAGTGCTCGGGCAACGGCTTCTGTCTGAACACGTTCGGCTCCTTCCGCTGCAACTGCCACAAGGGCTTCACAGGCGCGCGCTGTGAGCACAGGTACGTTCCCTGCGAACACGACCAGTGCCTGAACGGCGGCCACTGCGTCCCGCACTACCAGACGCTCTCCTTCTCCTGCCAATGTCCCGTCGGCTTCAGTGGCGCCCTCTGTCAGCACAACGTGGACGACTGCGGCGCCAACCTCTGCCAGAACGGCGCCACGTGTCTCGATGGCCTCAACACCTACACGTGCCAGTGCCCCGCCCAGTGGACCGGCCCCTACTGCTCGCGCGACGTCGACGAGTGCTCCTTAAGGCCACACGTGTGTCAGAACGGCGCCACCTGCGTGAACGCCCTGGGCTCCTTCTCGTGCATCTGCGTCAACGGCTGGACAGGAGTCACGTGCGCCGACAACATCGACGACTGCGCGGCCGCCGCGTGCTTCAACGGCGCCACGTGTCACGACCGCGTCGGCAGCTTCTACTGCGAGTGTCCGCCGGGAAAGACGGGACTCCTGTGCCATCTGGACGACGCGTGCGCCTCCAACCCGTGTCACGGTATGTCAAATACACACTCTGTCCTATATGTACTAACTCTCTGCTCCCCCGCCAGCCGGCGCCATCTGCGACACGTCGCCCATCGACGGCACGTACATGTGTTCGTGTCCGCTCGGCTTCAAGGGCGTGGACTGCACTCAGGATGTGGACGAGTGCCGCGAGAGTGGCTCCCCCTGCGAGCACGGCGGCACCTGCGTCAACACTCCGGGCTCCTTCCGCTGCGACTGCGCCGTGGGGTTCGCGGGGCCGCGCTGTGAGGTGAACATCAACGAGTGCGACTCCAACCCCTGTCTCAACGACGGCACGTGTTTGGACGAGCGCGGCTCCTACCGCTGCGTGTGCATGCCAGGTCAGTGCCCTCACTCTTTACTCATGTCTTCAGGTCATTGACCTTCCCCCTCCCCCTCAGGCTATTCGGGCATTCACTGCGAGCAGGACGTGGACGAGTGCCAATCGAACCCCTGTCTCAGTGGCGCCCTCTGCACGGACCTCATCAACGGCTT